AAAAAATATCCCCAAAGCGACAATCCCTTTTCAACAGGAAGTATCTAGCATGAAAAAAAGACAATCAGTAACAGAAGGAAAAATCATCCAATATCTGATCCTTTTCTTATTGCATTCCCCTAGAAAAGTTCCTAGAGGAAGAAGAGATCTCCCTGTGCAGCACAAGTTGCCCTGCACCATTTTCCTGTCCTCAAGTACATGGGATGGTGGCCGGAGCCAACCAGGCTGCACTGAGCCATGCAATGAACAGCTTCCTTATCTGCCCAGCCCACGTTAGCAAACAGCAAGCCTTAACCTTCCTTGGCCATTAATTCTGGCAGAGCTTTTGTTTCAAGTCATTCCTCTGCTCTTTCTGGGGAGTCATGAAAAGCATGTGTCAGCACAACTTGCTGCTGAGGACGGCATTAGAAAGGATTTGAACCGACTCCCCATGGCAACAGACCCTGAAAGGGAATTAGCATTTGCTCCCCATTCCTCAAGCGGCCTAAGAGGAATTTGTTTTCCTCCTGTGGAGGAATTGTTTCCAGGAGTGCAGCACGCTGCTGCCTCCATCGCTCAGCAGGCGCTGCTCCAAAGGACACCTACCTCACACACCCTGCGCTCAGCATCGCTCATCCCACCAGGCATGGAGCTGATGAACAAGAGTGAGTGCGTATGGCTGTTTGCCTTACGTGGCTTTCCAGCACACCTTCCAGCTGTTTTTGCCAGCTCCATGCATCCTGAGTCACTAATCCAGATCATTTGTTGGTTCTGCTGCACACACGTTTTCAAATCGTGAATGCTGAACGCAAAGTCTACGCTGGAGATTTTCATCTGCACAGACAGAACTCACTTCGCCCTGCTGGCAATGCGGTTTCAATGCACCACCTGCAGCACATCCTCAGGTTCTGTCATCCTGAAGATTCTTCTACACATTCTCCAGTTTCTTCTATGGTATAAAACCTTGGGAGCAGGCAGAGGAACACACAGCACGCCCAGCACTGACAGCTTTAAGAGCCACCCACAGCCCCAAAGCATGGAGAAATGATTGATTGGCCCCAGGCAGCAGTTCACAGGCTCCCAGGGACACCTTGCTCATGCTCCAGTTCTCCAGATACAAACTGACCCAGGTGAAACATGGAGACACATTCCCAACGATTCCAAGGAACTGCAGCAGCACCTGAAGCCAAGAATAATTCCCAATGCTCAGTCTGGGGGTGCTGCTGGGAGCGGGGGGAACCACTGGTCTGTCAAGAGCACACTGAGCTCTGCTTTCAGCCACAGATTTGGTGAGCATCACCTCACCGTGTGCACCTCTGCCTGAAGTGCGAAACACAAAAGACAAGAGAAAGGAGGAGATGTTCACAGAGACTCAACGCAGCAAGAAATTCACCAACCAGCTGTTAATGACACATATTTAAGAGCTTGTGAAAACATCTAACAGATTTCACATCCCATTCCAGCAGCAAAACGATGCTCTGAAGAGGCAAAGTCATGACAGCAAACATGAAGTGTAAGCTTACTTTGTTCATACCTAACATGAGTTGGGAAAATAATGTTTCTGGAAATGGAATATCCATTTCTTCCCCCTAGGGGAAGTCCTTTGAGGACACCCTCTCTGCAGACCAGCTGGCACACCCTGCAGCAGCCAGCACAACAGGTCGTGCCAGGAGCACCCATCTCTCAGAGCAATGATGGTAATTCAGACAAGTCATTTTCAGACCTACTGGTAACATAATAGACTTTTAGACAATTATTTGAAATGGGAAATATTCCATTTCAACTGCTGCTTCAGCTATTACTATAACCTATGAAGCTCTGGCAGCACACAGAATAATTCAAACTATTTGATAAAATACAAAGATAAAAATAAGATGCCTGGGAAGGGCTTACGCCAACCTTGCATGATACTGGGCTCCTCACCAATTGAGATGCAGTCCCAAAAGGAGCAGGGATGAAGGCTGCTACCTCCACAAGAGCTTCTCCATTTGTCATCAAGTGCTAACACTGGCAACAGTAAATATTCTTCCATTTTTGCCTACAGGTGCACTACCAAATTTGCTCCCACTGCTGGAACTAAGACTGGGCACAGAACACAGGAAGCACGCTCAGCAATGCCTGCTTCAAACCCGAGCAGACAGTCAGCACATCCTACACCCCACTCAGTGACATGCTTGGCCGTGCCTGATGTGCATGGGTATGTGAACTTTGTGCCAATAAATCAAGCCTGTCTTAGTGCATGTGTTCCTTCACATGGCAGATTGCCTCCACCTGAAATTTCTTGCAAGCAGCCTTCAGTTATTTCAGGTTGGAGAGACTTGCAAAGATGCCTCTTGCTAGGAACCGTACACTGTGTTAACACACATGGCCAAACACATCTGAAGCAGTTTTGCAATACTCACCCATGGCCTTATACCCCCAGCAGAACATATATTGCATCCTCAGTGCTTTGTCCCAACTTTTCCTAGCACTGCAACAGGTGTCTGCCTCCAAAATGCTCTCAGTACCTCTACCCACCTCTTCTCCACACCCCCATACTTCCACTGCCTCTGCAGGAGGCTCTGTTAGTGGCTATTTGCAGTGCTGGCTATTTCCTCCCACCTTCCGATCCCCTGTGGTGCCCTCCCACCTCTCAGATGCACTCACATCACTCATCTACCAGGCACAACAGAATGGAGCTTCTGTAAAGCCAGATGACCTAAAAAAGGCCACACGTACTGAGGGCACTGGGAAAGCAGAGGGCAGGCTCTGGAGTAATGGTAACGTCCTCAGTGTCTGCGGAGACTGGAACAAGGAAACCACCTTGGTACAGAGAGCAAGAGCAGTTTTCTAAAACAAACAAAGTGCGCACACACACACTTCCTGGCAATTTGGTCAGTCTGCACCAACACCAGCCAACCTCAGCAGCACTGCAGTGGAAGCACCTCCTGCTCGTGGCCTGGGAAGCACAGACAGATTTATCCCAAGCATAGCTCCGACCCCGTGGCACAAGGCAATGAATGGATCCCTGCACACTGCTCAGCCCTGCTTCCCCAGGGAACTGAGCTTTGCTGGTTGGCAGCTTTCATGCTCTTCTAGTGCAGTGGTCAGTTCATAGAACGGCCTGGGTTGAAAAGGCCCACAGTGCTCATCCAGCTCCAACCCCCTGCTGTGTGCAGGTCACCAACCAGCAGACCAGGCTGCCCAGAGCCACATCCAGCCTGGCCTTGAATGCCTGCAGGGATGGGGCATCCACAGCCTCCTTGGGCAACCTGTTCCAGTGCCTCACCACCCTCTGCATGAAAAAATTCCTCCTAATATCCAACCTAAACCTCCCCGGTCTCACTTTAAAACCGTTCCCCTTGTCCTACCACTATACACCCTTGTAAACAGCCATTCTCCCTCCTGTTTATAAATGGATGATTGCTCAGAACACGCTCTGCATCCTATCAGACCAAGAGGAAAACACCAACACAGAACCATAGAATCACTCAGGTTGGAAAAGACCTTCAAGATCATCAAGTCCAACATGAGCTAACCATGCTACCCTAACAGCCCTGAACTAAATCACGTTTCTGAGCAAATCACTTCCCAGAAGCACAACTGTGCTTCTAGAGCACCCTCATCTCAATGTGTTCAAGTGAATTCAAAACACTCAGAAAAAGTTTTGGTGAAACCCCATAAGGCAGTGGTGTGCAGCAGTCTGACCTCGTCTGAAGACACAAACAGGGAAACTCTCAGGAACACAGCAGCTCTGTGGCAGCCCTGCAAAATTCAGACATTTTTTTCCTTTTAACTTCCAGACTTGCTTAAGCACAATAAAAACGAGGGGAAAAAAAGAAAGCTCCTGTGGGGCTGCAGCCCTGGCTCTGCCATCTGATCGAAGTCACGGCGGCGTGAAAGGCCCGAGGCTTAAATCGATTCCCCAGGCAGCCTCCGAGCGGAGCCGGGCGGCTCACGGAGCCGCGCGCACCCCAGCGCTGCGGGGCGGCTGCGGAAAGCCGGGAGGCACCTGCGGGTCGGTCGCAACCAAGCCGTCCCACCATTCCCACCAATCGCATCGTTTTACGGGCGGACGGAGACGTGCTTTCCCTGAAACAACCTCCCTTTGCGAAATTACAGAAAAGAAACGCAGCACTTTAACAACAAAAGCTTCTGGTCGGCGGACTGCAGCTCGCGGCGCCCGACCCGCGCTGTGACCCGCGCTGTAACCCGCGCTGTGACCCGCGCTGTGACCCGCGCTGTGACCCGCGCTGTGACCCGCGCTGCTTCCCCCCTCACAGCTCACGGCCACGCGCCCCGTAAAAGCACCTCACAGCCGCTCCTCAAACAAAGGGCCCGAGAGCGGGAGCGCTCCGTCGGACGCGGCCGGCTCTGCCCCCGGAGCTCGAGAACGCTTCACTCCGACGGCGCTTTTCGCTCCGCCGGACCCGAAGCTCCGGGGGCGGCGCGGCTGCGAACGACTCGAGCGCGGCCCCGGGACGGCCCGTCTGTCCCGGCTCTCAGCCCCAGCGCGCCGTGCTCCCGTGCAGCCGCCGCATCGCAGCCGCCCGCCGTAACCCCACCGGCTCGGCTCGCGGCGCAGCTCCCCCCACCCCCCTCGCCGTGCCGGCTGCCCGCAGCTCCCGGCCGCCAGAAGTTATTTACATCACAAACCCGCACCTGGGTTTGGGTGGCGCGCGGAGCTCCGGCCGCCGTGCTGCTCCTCGCGGGGCCGCCCCGCTCAGCTCCGCGCACACACGGCACGGCTCGGCTCGGCTCGCTCTCCGGTTCAAACGCACGGCGCCGCCGCCCGGCCCCGCCCGCTCTCCGGCGCGGAGCTCAGGGCAAACCCGGAGCAGCCCCGGCCCGGAGCGGAGCGCCCTCCGGCCCCGCAGCGCAGCGCCGCCCGGCGATCCAGCCCCGGTGTTGCGGCGGCCCCGAGCCCGCTCCCATTCAACCTGCTCCATTGTGCGCCCGCGGGGCCCCTCCTGCGGCCGCCCCCCCCTCCCGGAGCTCCGCGCGGCGGGCAGAGCCGCCTGGCCCCGCCGCCCCCGAGCGGCACCTGCCGCGGGGAGCGCCGCCCTCGGGGAACGGCAGCGCCTCAGGCGCTGCCCCGTCCGCAGCTGGGCTCCTTTGCGCTGCTCCTCACACGCGAACCACAGCGCTCCCGCGCAGCCACAGCTGTTTCCTTTCCTCGGCGGTTGAGGGGGAGGAGATGCTCTGGTTTTGTTTTCACAGCTCAGCCCGGGCCGATAAGGAAAAGAGCACCAACAACACCTGGTCGGATCCATGTTGTCACCGCGGCCGCACCATTAACGAGGTCCGAACTCAGGGCCGTTCCTTTCCACAGCTCTCGGTCTCAGCCTTAAGGAGGATCTCGGCGATGAATATAGTTCACTCACAAAACAAAACGCAGTCTGTGCAGAATTATCTCGCGTTTATTGCAGCTGTATGCACACTGTCAGCGCTCCGTGTGGAAGAACTCCTTGTAGGTAAGGATGGATAAAAAAGACCAGCTACCCCCAGCCCTGAGAAGCGCTGCGTCTGTACGACCGAGTGCTTTGGTGTCTGAGCGCACCGCGCCGCTGCTGCCGGCTGTCGGTGCCCCGTGCAGGCGTTCCTGGTGTTGTTTCTGGACGCCCTGCTGCTGGCTTGACAAGAAGCACACCTTGCGAGGAGCCAGGGATAAACATCTACTGCGTGTATTCCTATCTGAGGAACAGCTGCTTCCAGGAGCCACGGTTCTGCCCCGAAGTCAGCACAGGAAGAATGGCAGAGCAGCCAGTCAGCAGGGCTTAGATAATGAAGCTTTTCAGACCGCATGGCTCTCTTTGGTGCCTCACTGCCTAAGGAATACACGCAGAGAAAAAAATGCACGTTGTACTTCAGCCACATAATGAGGAGTGTGGGAGACGACACACAAAGCTCAGGTGTTCGGTGTATAAAAAGCCACAATGAACATAAGAAATTCGATCTTTATTCTGGGAATATTTACAAACACACACCTGGCGTACACTTCACACCGCTCTGAAAAACAAAAGTCCTTGGTGTGCTCTGGTCCCCTTTTCCCAATTCCAAAAGGTTTATGTCCATCCGATGGAGGTATTTCTAGAACCATCAGGAAAACGTCACTGCTGCTCACAGCTGTGGGGTACCCAGCAGGGGGAACAGGATGCGTCACTTAGGATCTGAGGAACAGCTCAGCTCAACACCACTTCCATTCTTGTCCTGCCTAATATCACTACACTTCAGTCCCACACAGATTAAATGAGACAGCACTTTGTAGTTCTCAGGTTTTCTGTTCAAGACAAGGAACCCCGAGTTCTGGCACTTGTTAGCATTAACTTACACTTTACACAAAGCACGTAACACAGATAACTGCCCTGCTTCTAGTCCAGCCTCCCTTCCCATCCTTAAACTTACTTTCTCAACCAGCTCACAAAACGTTTCAATGTCCACATGAATTTACTGTTGCTTATATGACCTCTGATCCTTTCAGAGAAGCTTTCTTCTTTCCATATCCCCTTATTTTTCCTCAAGGCTTTCAGCTCTGCTCGGAGAAGTCTTTTGTGCAGCTCCCAGAACAGGTGAGAATCGTGCTGCAGTCCCTCTATGCTCGCCGCTCTTCCAAGCCCTTCTCTCAGGACCTCTTCATTTAAGCACACGCTGGAAAATCGGCCCTGCAGAACAGCACAGGGAATGTCACGTTCCCTTATCCTTACAGAGTGCATGCATGCAGATGTGCGTGTTGCCACGGAGGTACAGACTGCACTTCTCATTGAATCTATGTTCATGCAGAAAGAAACTTTTAACTTTCAAAGCTTTTTAACTTTTTAACACATTTAACTATGTGAGTTGAGCGAAATTCAGAGCTAGGAGAAGGCATTGCATGGGTTGAACATTAAGCCCACCAGAACTGCACGGTGCAGCCAGGTTGGTCCACAGATACACTCATCTCAGAATCTGATTTAAAAATACATTACTTAAGATTCATGTAAATATAAATCCAGACGGGCTGTGGCTCTGGGCAGCCTGGTCTGGCGGTTGGCGACCCTGCCTGTGGCAGGGAGGTTGAAACTAGATGATCATTGTGGTCCTTTTCAACCCAGGCCATTCTATGATTCTACGAAATGGCATTAATAACATGCTTAGGTACTGAGATAACTGCATGATTGCAGTCAAACCCCACAGCTTTAAGTCATTCTTACCACCACATTTACCTTATTTACTAAAACAAGGCACTCAAGTGCCAAGTGCTCCCTCCCGAGAAGTTGGAACCAGATCACTTGTGGGGGTTTCAGCTCTCTCTGGAGCCACACCGTGCCCTCGGGGGTCAGCTCCACGCCAGCCAGTCTCACCAGCAAGAGACCCTCGGACTGCCCTGGGCAAGACACAGCACTCCTTTACCAAACACAGCAGACAAGCTAGCTGTCATGCTTTGCACACAGTCTCAGCTGTTGTTAATGAGTCTATTCCAGACTTTATAAAAAAATAAATAAGTTCTAGTGGTTTTTTTCCCCCGGAATGAGAGGAGCCGTGCAAACAAATGAACTGCCCAGACACTTGAGTTTTGCTGCCAGAAATGTATTGCAATGATGCTACTGCTATTAAAGTACCAGCAGGCTCTTCCTACAGAGCTCTCCTCGTTCCTTCCCATTCCTCGGTTTCCCATCTGTACAGTATGGGAAGACCAAAGGGCAAAGCCAGACTGCAACTTCACCTCCGTCTCAGCACTGATCTCTTGCAAAGACACAGCACCTCACATCCCATCGATTCATGCCCACCTGCTTCCAAGAATAGGATTTAAAAACTCCTGACCTACTTCTGTGTGCATTTCATTTCTCTCCACGTACTTTTACTCACATTTTCTCTGTATTGAGGTAATGAAAGGAACGCTGATGGGAATGTGCTCAACTTCCAGACCCTTCTCAGTGACACAATGCACTTTTCCTCGCAATTTCACATTCTTTTCTATAAACCCTGCAGGTATATCCAAAGCATTTGTAAACTTTGTTGTCTGTTGACAGGAAGAAGAACAAGTGTTAAAAAAAGACAACCATAGAGCAGTTACAGTCAAATCCAACTTCTACAAACAGCCCAACTTCTACAAATATCTGGTGAATCGCAGATGTGCTGTTGAACAGCACGAGGAACTGCTTTTGTTAGACTGCAATGAGCTGCAGGCACACAGCAGCCTTCACACTCAGGAATGCTCCCATTCTGCAGGGCATTCATGCAGCACGAGTCATGGGCACGAAAGCTTAGAGAAAAACAGAAATTGATGGGTTTGAGCAATACGTGTTGAAGTCAACTTGATTTACCACGAAAAGAGGGGTTAGAAATGGTCCAGATGGTGCTACAATGGGAGAGAGGAAGCCAAGAAGACATCAGCAAAGAACAGACACAGCAACAGCAAAGCAGAGTAGAGGGCAGAAGGAACAACACAGCCTTTGATAAGGGAGTAAATAGGAGAGGGACAAAAGCAGGTGTGCATCCTTGCAAAGATCACAAGATGACTGAATTTGATACTACGTTGTGTTCAGAACAGGATTCAAAGGAGAGTTATATGATCACACCGGGAAACAAAGCTTAACAGCTGCAGTACAGGAACAAACTGCTGCTCTGTGAGGGGACAGAGGGAAAAGGGATGGCACAGAGCTCAGAATTAAGAATCTTAATCAACTTGCAGAGCTCTCACTGCAGGAAACCCTTTGCAGAGGACTGACACACATCATCCACATGCCGATGGGAAGAACTGGTGAGGCACTGGAACAGGTTGCCCAAGGAGG